CAGATATTATAAATCAGGCTTAGAAAGATTAGCTCAATTTCCTGAGGTCACACAGCCAGTGCATGGCAGACCTAGGGACCTGATCACAGGGATATTGGATTGCAGACTTGGGCCCTCAGCACTTGGAGAACCTACTTTGGCACAGACTGTCTTCCCCAACGGTCCCATTCTATGGAGGTGCTTTGTCTGGCATTCATGTTTGCTTCGCCTGAGGAAGACACTACAGCCCAGAGACGGACAAGAACCAGTCAGCCTCATGGTCACCTATCTGTGACCACAGCCTTCTACTTCAGGATCACTTTTTAAAAACTGCTCTTCTTTGTTGATCATAAAAATGATTTTTCAGAATATTTTAGAGAAAGAAGGCATAGAATGAAAAAAGCATTACTTTAATCGTTCACGAACGTAACTGACATGGAAGAGCAGGGCTTATACTTTGCACTGGGAAACTATTGTGAAACAGTTTCTCCCTCTCAGAGTTCCAGTAAACAGAATATTCTTGCGTATCATTTGGTTTCTCTACTGAGTAAGGATAGATTGTATTTTGACTCAGTAATTCTTCTGGAGTAAGGAGAGCAGCTACTACTACATGTGTGTCAGAGCCCCTCCAGCCTGTCTCTCTGCCTCGTCCAAGTATTAGGCCCTGGATCCCACATGCTCAGCTCTCCCTGGACTTGAGGTCTCAGCTGGGTCTCAGGCAGGAGGAAGGGGACCTTGGAGCCTTGCCTTTTGGGACTCAACATCCAGTTGGGCTTGGCGCTGGTCAGGCTTTGTTCTGTGTCCCAGAACTGATAACTGGGTGTCTGACTTCATCCCCAAACCCCAGGCCTCGGTTTTGGCATCTGGAACCTGTCTTGCTTCTCCATCCTGAGTCTCAACTCAGTTAACTTGCATGGTTACCTGGTATTTCTTGACCTGTGATACCATAGTGTTACTACCAAACCTCAGGTCCCCCTGGGCTGAGTCAGAACCCTCGACCTGGGGGATTCATGCCCAGTGACCTGTGAATGAAATCCCCTGGCACAACTGGTCTGCCTAGACTCATGTTTTGTCTGCTGCTAGCAATCCCTACCCAGAACTGAACATGCAGTGCTACCACTTGGCTTGATTGCTGCCTCTTTTCTTGTATTATTCTCTTAAAGCACCATGTCCTGCTTTCTGGGCCAGACTTGCTCCTGGCATACCTTTGTCCCTTCAGCCACAGCCCAGCATCCACACTTACACCTAACCTAGTTATGCCCAGCCCTGACTGGAGACAGGCCGTATTATCTTTCTTTCAAATTGGGTCGAGTTCTCACCTCAAATATGAGACTCTTTGCTAAGGAAGAAAAGGGGCAAGCCACTGCCAGGGTTAGCAAACAGAGAAGGGGGAGGGGACAGCCCAGCAGGCACAGGCCTCTGGCCTTGCAGAGTGCACATCTGATCTTCTGTGGCTGCCACCCCAGAGAGAATAAAACCAAGATCACTTCTGATCTGCTCTGACTCTGCTGGCCCCTCGGTACATTGCAGCCACACTGCTAAGTGCTCACTATGCTGTAGCCGTGGGAAATTATTTGGAATTCCCAAGACCTATCAGGTCTGCTTGGCAGGTCCCTTCCTGGGTTGCTCTTTTAGTCCTTTGAGCTGCAAATCATTATTTCTCCACTCTTCTTTTGAGTTTGGTGTCCATCTTTTTCCCTCTCCTCAAAGCCTGTAGATTTCCCAAGTGGGAAACATACGACAGTTACCTCTGTAACTCCAGATCCTGGCAATAGTAGGTGCCCAGTAAACATTGAATGAATGAATGAATGGATGGATGGATGGATGGATGGGTGAAACCAATATGCCTCTAAAGTCCTGAATAAAAAACCCCAATGGGCCTCTGAAAAATGCCCTTCTAATTAATAAAACACTGGATTATGTATGAATCAGTAAGTGGGCTATTTGTTTCTGTTTTTGTCTTGGCAGGATGGGAAAAGAGAACTAAAAAGAAACATTTGCTGAGCTTTGGCGTTGCTGCCTCTGTGCTTGCAGTCAGCAATGCACAGAGGAGCTGACAGGCCACAGTCTTTGAAATAAATAACCCTTCCTCTTGTTCAAGCACAGTTTCTAAAAGAAAGTTCTACTATATACTTAATTGGATTTTTTTGTTTTTTGCTGCAATTTAAGCCTTCTTCCTCCTTTCCCTGAGTGGAATTATAACTCATTATCTTTGAAGTTCACAGGGGCACCTTTTCTAAGCAACACAAGGAACTGACTCTTACAGAGTACATTCATTCCTCATCTTTGTCTTTCTGTGTATGCGTCTTTTTCAGACTTTCAAAAATTGTGCATTTGCTTTAATGAGTTAGTACCTAGTAGGTTCCTATGTTGTTTGAGAAAACAATTTCTATCTGTTCATATATAGTTAAAAAGAAATGGGATCTTTTTTTTAAAAAAGTTTAATCCTTCCCTACTTCTTTCCTCAAATACTGAATTTAAGATCCTTTGAGGCCCAACATAATTTAAGTGTTAATTCCTTTCTAAGCTCTTTTCAAGCTTCTGCACTCACCATGCAGATTGCATTAAACATCCTAGTCTCTTCATATGAGTGTCTCAGAAAAAACAAAGTAACTCTTGCTCGTATTAGAATATTTTGCTCAAAATATAATGTCTTTTGTCCCCCTTTCTGACAATGTATTTATTTATTTGGCCTTCAAAAAGAAAACAGAAGTCTGTTACAACTGGAAAAGAATGCAAGCACTGGGCTTCTCATCTCATTTGTGGGAAACATCTGGTTATTATAACTCACAGGGCTCTCATTTCAGGTTTGCATTCCTGAGCGGTTTCAGCCTTAAAACACCCAGTGTTGGCAAACAATAGTGAGGGCCAGGCCAGGAAAGAAACAGGCAAAGCCTATGTTCGGTATGAGATTAAATAAAGGCATAAGCACTTTGATATTCCCATTTCTATTTCTAATGGGAAGCCAATATGTTATTTTAATGATGACATTGAAAACCATTGTATTCTGGGACTTTTCCTTTAGAATTGGTGTCTGGATCTGAAGGCTGCATCTTGATTTTTTTGAAGAGTAAATTCCTAGTAATGGCATGTATTAGGTGAATGGTCAAGCTCGATCATTCTGTGTGGAAACTCTGAAGTAGTTAGAAAGAGATGTATTTAAATATGGAGCAGAGGCCTGGGTTCTAGTTCTAACTCTGCCATTGTTTGCTTCATGATGCTGGAAATATCACTTAACTGCTTTAAGCCTCGATTTCTTTACTGATAAAGTGGGAATAAGATCTGTGCAACTTTATGAGGATTTCAAATGACTAACCCAAGTTCCAGCCTTGTCTCTGTTACTTTCAAATGTTTATGTGTTTAGTGTATCCCTTGGTACCAGCACAGCATCCTGGAGGCCTGGAATGCTGGTGCTCCAAGACCTTACCCAGGCAGCGGTCCCACCTCACAGACGCAGAAACTGAGAACCCTAATGAGAGGGGAAGTGCCTGGAATGTCAAGGTGGCTACTTTGAAAGAGAATGCTTATTTCACATTTGTATTTAGGGTTAAAAAAAACACAAAACTAAAAATTAAAATGAAGAAAACCTCATTTTTCTGAAGCCCTGGTTTCACACTATCAAATTAAATGGATTTAATAAATGGAACAGCATCCCTCCTGTGGTCATAGAGCAGGATCGCCCTGCTCACTCTGTTCGACCCAGAGGAGGAGTGGAAACATCCAGGTGGCTGCGGGAAAGCTATAATACACCTTTTCTCAGAAAGTAAAAGCTTATGCTGGTCCTCCTACGTGCTCTGGAATGGCTTAGGAACCCCAGGTGCAGTTGTCATTCCCTCTGCCTCTGGGCTTATGTGACGTTTCACACAGGGAAGCAGAGAAGCCGTCCAGGGCTGAGGCACAGGCAGGACATGAGAATCACAGAGGAGAGGGGGCAGGAAGAAAGAAGAAGAATGACCAAGGAGAAAGAGGGGGAAAGATAGCAAAGCAAGAGAAGAGAAGGAAATATCATCCGTGAGGCCCATGCTGGAGGGTCACCATGATTATATTGCCTCGTGGTAGCTGTGCTACTACTTTTCTGTGTAGGAACATTATCACACACCAGTGAGAGTATCTGTTTTCTGCAAACAGAAAAACTCTCTGGAGAGGGTCCCCCTTGCAGCTACTCTAGAAACTCAGTACATTTGAGCGGTCTTTCCGCTTGGAAAAGTCTTAACTATTTTTTTTTAAAGTTTTTTTGTATCACCTTTGAAATTACTGGCTTCATTATCACACTAAAAGAATGATTCAGTGTCTATATTGGAAAACTCATTATTTTTGCCTTCTTCAATTTTTTATAAAGGGCATAAATTTGGCTTTTTATCTAGGGAATAAAGATTTCAGAAGCATGGTCAATTATTTGCTGATTGAATTATAGGAAGAACGTATGACTGTCCAGTAGAATTTAGAAACATATATAGTTAATTTTATGGCTGCACATATCTAACCCAGCCATAATAATTATAATAACTTTTTGTTTTTTTATTTCCTGTGGGAAATAGGTTAGGTTGGACCTGAATGCATCATTATAAAGTGTGCACTTATAAATTGAACTTTTCTAAATCTAGGTCAATTGGGTAAGAAGGCTCTTTTGATAAAAACAGGTTGATGATTAGATTCACAGGGCACTTCAATATGAAATTATATTTCTCCCTACATCCTGGCTCATAGAGCAGTGTAAATGATACATCAATGTTAAGAAACAGAAAATCATATTCACAATAATAGCAAAGTTTCATGGTGCACAGTTTTACACTTTAATATGCTTTGTTTCATTCTGCCATGTTAGTGTTTTAAATAATATAATTTCCCATTCATGTAGTTTTAAGTTCATCTTTTATTTTCTCTTTACCCTTCTGGAATAGCTTTCTATAGTGCTAGGAGAAATTCCTAAAAAATAGGTAGCATAAAGTTAAATAATCTTTTCAGGAAAATAAAAAAGATTTCAGATTCTCTAGCCAAAATATTATCTGTGTACTTTCCAGACTCAATCTGCGTACCAGGCTTTGATCCAGGCCTCAACATGATGACTGGGATCACCCCCATTAACCCAATGATCCCAGGCCTGGGGCTGGTACCACCCCCACCACCAACAGAAGTGGCTGTCATCAAAGAAATAATCCACTGCAAAAGTTGTACTCTTTTCCCTCAAAATCCAAGTAAGTGATGCTTGTGAGAAATGTTTGCTTATCAGTTTAAATGTCTTACTTTTTTTAACATAGAGCATTGCATTCATTTTCATAAGCGACTCAGAATTTCTCATTCCACAAAAGTCCTTTGTCTCTAGATTAGAATAAATATGCGGGGATGTGTCTTTGTGTCTGTCCTGGAGCTGATTCAACACCATGAAGTCAGTACATGATTTGGGAATATATATCCAGAGTTAAGAATCTTTTTGCATGCAACGAAGTCTAGCTTTTGCTGCAGAACATAGTGTGAAATATATGAGCACTCCCATTCATCTTCACAAATATGGGAGAAAACTCTGAAATGTTTTTTGCTAGATGGAAAATTGAATTAATTTGGCAGTTAGCAATTTTGGGGGGAGCCTGCATCTCAGACTTCCTGGGCCAAATTGCATTTGCTTGAAGGAAACATACATTTGATGAAATAAATGGGACAGGTTTTTTTTTTTTTAATTTAGCCACAGATACTAAGTTTATGGGCTTAAATAGCTAGGATTTTTTTTTATTCATATTAATCAGTGTTGCCTTTTTTAAGTGGACTTTTCAGGAGATTGCTCTAGTAATCTACATATAAACTAGATAAAATGTTGTGACAGTGTACATTTTATCTTTTTATACAGCCTTTCCAAAATTTAATAGTTTGCTCATTTCAGTGTGAATTTAAAAAAAAAAGAAACCAAGTTTTTTTTAGGCCTGTGTTTCCCAGCCAAATAAGTAGCGCACATGCTTTGAGGTCAGTTCCCGCATTCTGCCTTGCTGCTCCATTATCCCGCAACAAGACAAAGCAGATAACAAACCAAGGTTTTTCATAATGTTACCATTTCATCATGCTTTGTACCTTGTGAAGGCTTTTCTCTTTTTTTGAGCTTCTGTATTATGAAGGAGAAATGAAATTATGCTAACATTTGCTTTATCTTTGTTCACGGACAAGCCTGGCTACTCTGTAGAAATGAACACAGAAAGTAAAGAAAGCGTGGGAGGAGGAGGGGAGAGGAACTGAAAAACAAGACAGCCCACAGCCAGCGTAAGCCGCTGTAGGAATTGATTGTTACTCTGAGAGAGTTATTCTGCAAGTTTTACTTTTGCCAGGTGATCCAGAAAAAAAGAGCGCTAAGAAGTCAAAAGCAAAAACCTCTGTTTTGTTGTGCTTAATTATTAGATCTTCCACCTCCTTCCACAAGAGAACGACCTCCAGGGTGTAAGACTGTGTTTGTTGGAGGATTACCAGAAAATGCTACTGAGGAAATTATTCAAGAAGTCTTTGAGCAGTGTGGTGATATCACAGCAATTCGGAAAAGCAAGAAGAATTTTTGTCACATTCGCTTTGCAGAGGAATTCATGGTTGATAAAGCCATTTACCTTTCTGGTACTTTGCATTACATAAGGGGTTTTCTAGGAATTTTGTTATGTTTTATGATGTTAATATGGGTTTATTCACTCTTGCCTTAATGTACAATAAAAATCCTTACAGTCTGGGGCTAGAAAAGGAGGCATTCTGCCTTTTTCCTAGGCTGCCAGAAGCTCCAGGTTAAGTCTGTGAATGTACCTCATTGCAGGAATGGCTTCCCACATCCAGTCTTTAGAATTCCATCAAGTTTCTAATTAATGATCTCAAGTGCTTATTAGATGAAAAGCAGTTATTATGAATACTGAGGACCATTATTATTATTGAATGTATTTCTCTGGGGGAAGAGGATACTCTTTCAGCATAATTTCAATTTTTCAGAAGTGATTCACTTTGTAGGCACCAGGGGACTAAAGCAAAATCAGTTCTTTGCAAAAAGTAGTCCATGGGAACTAGTGGAAGACCCAGTAGTATTGCCCAATTGCTGGTATGCTTAGGGTGGTTAAGCCTACTCCATGATCCCTTCTTCTTCAGTGCCAGTTTATATGGGAGATTTTTACAGATGTTTAAATTAGACCTAATGCTGCCTTCTACTCTGTGGGTGTCAGAGCAAGTGTATGGAGTCTGTCTACAAGGCTTTTGCCAAATCTAAGAATTATGAGGCTGGTATTGATATGTGGCTTTAGAAGGATGTATTTTTAGATTCAACTGATGGCCATTTCCTCATACTCTCAATCTGTGTATTTCAATCTGTCAGTCTGGGCACCACCTCCCTATTCTGAAACAAAGCAAGTGGGGGAAGGTGAAAAAAATAGTAAAAAATAAAAGCACATATGAACATTACTGCCAGGTTTACTTGATTTCTGCAGTTGCCCCTATGCTTTTGACATTCTCTTGCAAACCCCAGAAGCCTTGGAAGTTTTTTCAATACTACAGAAACCTTCCTGGGCAAGATAGTGATATGGAGAACTTTAAAACCCTTATTACAATAAAACCTTACGCAGTGAGGAAAAAAAAAAAAAAAACAACAAAAAACTGACAGCTTTCCAAAGTGGAGGTGGAAGATAAAAGAAGAATAAAAATATATTACAACACACAAACAGCTATGTTTTACTTTTCACAAATTCATGAGCTATAGCCTCAGAGTGATCCATTAGACAATCAGGACCTCTGCTGAGTGCCTGACACTGGTCTTCACATGCCTTGGACAAGTTAACCTCCCTCTGAGACTCCTTTCCCTCATCTGCAAAATTGAGATAGTGACAGTACTACCTCATAGGATTCTTATGAGGAATAAATCAAAATAATGGATATTAAGTGCTTAGCAGGGCACTTGCAACAGAGGAACCATTCAGTATGTAAATGGTTGTTTTTAACACAAACAACCTGATGATGATAAAGAAGAACTGCCTTGTTTCTGAGGAACCTTGACCTGATAACATGGGTCTAATCACAGCTCTACCAATAAAACTATCATTTTTCCCTACCTGATTAACTGAGAGGGTTAGAGTAGATTAAAGGTGCTTTAACACTAACATAACACAATGTTTCGACCCAGTCAGAAATCCCATTAGACATTGGCAAAGATGAACAGGCTCAAAGGTAGGCATGAAAAGGTACTCCTTTATTTATGCCTTGATGGTATGATTTTGCCAGGTCGGACCCTGGTCCTCCTGTATTGCTCCTTGGTCTGCCCTTTTGAGACAGAAGGAACCCACAGCAAAGGCTTTACCCGCCAGCTTCCCTGCCTGGATACATGAGCATCTCCAAGCTGTGCCTCCACTGCCCTGTGGCAGCTGCAGCATCCATCCCAGGAAGTTCTGAGAGGCTGATTAATTTGAGGAACAGGAAGCAGGGAAGGCTGCGTGTGAGCTTTTGTGAGCCTGAGCCCAGATGGAAGGCTTGTCTAATTTTAGCCCTGGGTTCACATATAAAGGCCAAGACAATTTTAGACACAGCCTCATCAGGGTCTCTTTGAAAGCCTAAATGATGATGTTTTGGTGAAAGAGAGGGTGATTTTTGGAACCAGAAATGTCTGAAAAGCAATCCTTGGGACAAGAACAGGGAAAGTTTCTTGGCCAGTAGGGACACTGGCCAGTTCTAGGTGCCCTGCCTGCTCAGCTGTCATGTATGTAGCACTGTGGCCTGCACATTTAAAAATTAATTACAAATTAATCTTGGCCCACAACCAAGATACACTCTGCTTCAGAGTTAATTCTGCTCATCTGTGATCAGATGTTTGTGTTTGTGATAGGTATTTTTGTGTCTTTCCATTTTTAGATAACACCATTGAAACCTAGGTGTCAGAAGGGCATAATGCAAATCAAACGTGAGATCTGTTTCATATGATGTGAAGTTCCCTACTTGGGAGAAGTGAGCCTCTACAGGGATTTTCAGCTAGTTTCAACCAAAAACGTTATGATAATCCATTGACGTCTACCACAAGATCTTGAACACTGGCACAATGTAGCCTAGCATTTCACAGTGGTGTCTTATTTGCAAAAACCCTACAAAATATAGCAAAAGTGCTTATTTTGCTCTCTTCTCTGGCAGCCCTGACAGCCGTGATCCTGCTGGGACCTGAATTTATGTTTTTAAACTCTGAGCACCCAAAACTGAAGAGCAACCTCAAAGCCAAGTCTTCTTCATTTGAAGTTTGGCTGGCTGTCTGGTTTCAGTTCTGTTTCTGTTGATTTCTCAGATCTAGTTTCTGATCACAATCTTTTGAAGTTGGGTACCTCACAGTAAATTCCCTTAAGATTTGCAGGTTCATTTTTTTGGTCTAGCTCTCTGGGCTTTCGTGTTGGCTCCTGTGGCCTTCAAAGACTGTGTGGACAAGTTGCGCGGTGTTGCCTGCTAGTTGGGCTGTGCAGGGCTGTGCAGGGCTGTAGGGAAAGCAATGCAAGGCCTCTTGATTGAAGGTAAAATATTCTCCTGTGCACCCCAGAGGATAAGTGGAAATAAAACAGCATTGCAAAATTGCCTGGGTAATTGTGGCTTTTGCAGCTGCCAAGAGAGAATTGAGCAGCAGCTTTTTCTAGGAGAATGAAGTGATCGCCTGTGAGTGAGGTGTTGTGGAATTTACTTTGTAGATCTCTTTAAATATCATAGATATTCTTTATTTACTCCTACTCTACCTCCTTCTAAAGAGAATTTAAGGGAGCTCATCCAGTAGTGTTACAGTAAATTGAAAATATAAAATCAAGCCATAAAAAAAGGTAGAGAGGAGGAAAAAAAACAAGAAACTATATGTCAAATTTGTTTTTGAGCTTCCTGGAAGCCAGAGAGAAGAAGGAGCTAGGGTAATTGCCCAGGTTCTTAAGATCATCCTTTTGGTAACATTGGCTTGCAAATGAGTAGGAGGCCCTGAAAGACACCTCCCAACAGTGTGTTTATCCCCAAATCGGTAATGGGCTTGACTTGGCAGTGCTTCCAGGTGACAGGAGAGAAGAATAACTGCCTCCCAATTCCAATGGGAAGGGTGTCCTCTGTATGACCAAAGAAATAACAGACCTCTCTTAGTGCACCTACATCAAGGGCCTGAACCAAACTGTGGAGTGGAGACGCTGCTATGTGACTAGACTTTCTATTGGTTTCAGGTTACCGGATGCGATTAGGGTCTAGCACAGACAAAAAAGATTCCGGGCGCCTTCACGTGGACTTTGCCCAGGCCAGGGATGACTTCTACGAGTGGGAATGCAAGCAGAGGATGCGCGCCCGCGAGGAGCGGCACCGGCGCAAGCTGGAGGAGGACCGGCTGCGGCCACCCTCCCCGCCCGCCATCATGCACTACTCAGAGCACGAAGCTGCTCTGCTGGCAGAGAAGCTGAAAGGTAGGAGGCTGCGTGCTGGTTCCGACTTTTATTCCTCAGCGTTTGCCAGTGCCCACTAAAAGAGAAAAGCTGTGGTCCCTAAACAGGGAAGCCTTGTGTGCCTCTCTTGTTCCTTCAAGGGCTGATTTCGTGTGAGCAGGGAGGGTTGCCTACAAGCAGGACACCACTGGACTTGGCCCTGCTGGTGCCCTTTTCTGGTGCTCTTACCACAGCTCTGAGTGAATGTGTGTGCATTGTCACTCTACAGAACTCCTAGAAAGAGGGGCAGAGGGGTGATCAGCACTAGACCCAAAGCAGGCTACTGCCTTCTGACTCGTGTTGAATGAACTAGGGTAGTGTTTACTCCATGGGCAGGTGGGTCTCGGTGTTCCCCTTGCTCTGTAGAGTTTGCACCTATTCCAGACTCTTAACGAAACCTCCTTAACACATACCACTCTGCACTGGGGTCCTTGGAGGACAGAAGAAAAATGTAGGCTAGGACCCCTGTCTTCGGAGGTGGAGTAGAAAGAACACTCCTAACACCTAGGATAGTTAGGACTAGAAGTGTGTATATTTCATTTCTTCATGTTTTCTGGGCTCCTCTCCAGTGTTTGATGCTATGAGAGATAAAGACAGGTGGTCTTTATTACCTGCACTATTCTTGAATTTAGGACTGTATGTACATTTTTTGCTATTACCAATCAAAGTTGTGTTACATGAGCAACATTGGAGCATTTTACAGGCAGTTCTCAGGTCATTGGCCATGTCAGGCTTTAATAAGAGTACATAGGTCACAGTTGCTGGTCACACAGAGGTGTCTACAAGTAAACAATTAATAGCAATACAAAGCCAATGACATGATTGTCCAAGGTATGAGCAACATGCTTTGAGAACTTGGGAATGAGTGCAAATAATGTTGATGAAAGAGTCAAGGAAGTCTTCACAGAGGAGGCAGAATTTGAACTTTGTAAGATAAACAAGATTTTATTACCACTAAAAGAATGAGCATGAACGCATTCTAGTCAGAGCTGCTAGAATAAAGACACGAGGAAGCAGAGAGGTATTTGACACAGGAGGAGAAAGGTATGTGGCCTGCTCTAGCAAAGGCAAGAGCTGCATGAAGTTTGAAGTTTATAGAGCAAGGTGAAGCTAGAAAAGCAGTCTGGGGCCAGACAGTGGAGCCACAGAGGCTGCTGCTGGATTTGGGGTTTATTTCATAAGCAGTGGAAAAGCCACGTATGAGAGGAGAGATGTGATTGATCCTTTGAGTATTTTAGAGCATACCTAGGGTATTGCTTGGCAAGGTATACAGTGGATTGAATGTTTTCACTAAAGGGAATATATGGAAAACTGCCCAACTCCTGTTTTAGAAAGACAGGAAGTTGACATTCTGTGATTTAAAAAAAAATTTTTAAAGAAAAAGACTTCTGCTTCTAGCCCTGGCCAGTGTGGCTCAGTTGGTTGGGCATCATCCCATAACCTGAAAGGTCACAGGCTTGATTCCCAGTCAGGACACATGCCTGGGTTAATCGATTGGTCCCTGGTGGGGGCCCATTCGAGAAGCAACCAATCAATGTTTCTCTCTCACGTTGATGTTTTTCCCTCTCTTTCTCCTACCCTTCCCCCCTCTCTCTCTCTAAGGGGAAAAAAAAAAAAAAAAAAAAAAAGGTAGACTTCTGCTTCTAACTCTCATGCCCTGTTCAGGGCTTCAGAATCCCTAGTAAACTGTAGCTGCTGCTGAAATGCCCCATTGTAACAAAGAAACCATGACTGTCCCTCTAATAAAAAGCCTATAAAATGTAAATACATCTCACTTTTCCATTCAGACACAAAGCTGTACCAACTGGCCAGCAAGAGAAAGAGCGACATCCTCAACCAGGAATGTTGAGTTGGGAGCAAATAATTTGTTTTCATAGCCAGTGAGTTCTGTAGTTACCACTTGTGAGCTACATAGACTGTGTTGTATTCTGCCTTGTTCATTCATGGAAGTAACAAAAACTAGCACCTTGATTCTGTGGCCTCATGGAGGAATTTCATGAAAGTTTGGCATCTACATTATGTTATTTTTAAGGAACCAATACAGAAGTATCTATGCACATAAGAGGAACATGGCATTGCCTTTCCTGTTAGAGGGTAGCAGATTGGGATGTCAGTTTGGTGAAGTAATTTACAAGACTTGCCATTTCAAAAATATATATTTTTATATATAAGCATAATTTGCAGAATTTAGAAGCTACACCTTTGCCAAGTACTGTGTGATCCCTTGAGGAGAGAACAGATTGGAAATTTTATTAGATGGCAATTACAGTAGAATGAACTAGCTGGGGATACATCTTGGGCAACAGTCAGGTAATATCAAGCTCGACAATTTCAACCCAAGCATGGAGTTTGGAATATAAACAGCATTTAATTGCTTAGGAAATTGGCTGCTTCAGAGAGGAAATCCACTCATGTTCCTTATAATGCTGCAAAGCCAGGCAGGAGGAGCCAAGGAAACTGTTTCCCTGAAGATGATTTCATTGATATGGGGTTATAAAATGCAGTCAAGAGCTAAGGTAAAGAAGCCTAGGTCAGAAAGGAGGTGGAAATGCAATCTGAAAATACCTGATTGGATTTTTTTCTCTGTAGAAAAATCTTGCTATCTTATGTTTACTACAAACATTTTCCCTTTTTTATATCATACTTGTTTAGCCTTATAATTTTCTTTTTGGAAATCAGCTTTATCCAACAAAATCTATATAGACCAAGTCTCTGTTACCACTCGGTAGGCCTTCCACATCCTGCCCAGTGCTGAAACTATACATGTAGTAGATGCTCAGTAAATAAATTCTTTCCTGTGTTTCTTAACTATTTGGATCTGTGAGCTTGTTATATTTCTGGCCAACAATACCACCAGGCATGACCAATGGCCAGAAGTTAGGGATGTGATGTATACTCAGCCATCATTCCAATTACTCCACAAGTATTTCTTGAGCCCTCACCATATATGCCTGGCACTGTGCTGAGCACTACAGGAAAAGAAAATAGGATGCAAGCCTCTGCCTCACACAGTTTGCATTTCTTGAATGATAGAGGCAATTTCCAGGGCACTCTGTACTTCCACTATTGCAAGTGAGAAGTGCGGGGTGCCGTCCCAGGGAAGATAGGCACTCTGCCTGGCCAGTAGAGGGGTAAGACAGGGGAATCTTATAGGACCTGGTAACCCTGCATTCAGTGGTCATGGGGTTTTCTAAAGCCAGATGAAACACTGAGTTGTAGTTGTATAGTGTCTAAGGCATGAATCACCAGTGTCTGTTACATTAATACAAATTCTAAAAAAGAAAATTAACAGGCACCCTGATGATTAAATAGACATTGTTCTGAGCCGATTCCACTTAATGAAGACTGACTGGGAAGTGCTCACAGTCCAAAGTTTATAGCTTGGCTTTGAGAAAGTGAGAAGGAGCTCAATAACACCATAATTACACTTTATTGGAAACTGTAGCACCAGGCAGATGAGATAATGAATTTCAGTGTGTCTAACACAGACCATCTACCCCTAGAGGAACCCTGTATTTGGACTGTGGAAGAAAGACATTGATCAGACAGTGAGGAGAGATTATATCCTAATTCACTAGGGATCTCTCCTAGCAAGAGCATTTAAAAGTCTTTGTGTATTCTCCCCCCTTTCGAAAACTTCACATAATCTTTATGTGATGAAATGAACAGTTTTTCTCTGCACCAGGTGAAGCTTTAACAAAGCTTTGCAAGCAGTGCCCTTTGAATTTCTGGATGTGTCAGGAAATGGGGTCAACACTCATAATTTCCAGAGAACTAGACTCTGATTTGCATACAGAATGTTTCTGCATCTGCCTGCCCAAGGGCACGAGGGTGGGAGTGGTTCCAGCATTTTGCTGAGATGGCCATCAATATTTAGGATTGTAGGGATGTAAAAATCAATAATACTATGAGGCAAGTGGAAGTTCCATTAGCTAAAAGCCAGACTTCCTTCTTAGGACACAGGAGCCTGTTTGTGAATCACTTCTTCAGACATTATTGACCTTCGTACAAAGAAGATAGGCCATTTTATTTAGAAACATTTTGCTTGACCCAAAGCAGGAATAATCAGTGCATTTTCCTATTGCCTCCCCCTTAGTTTTTATATTTTTACAGTTACTAAATACTAGGGAGGTGTGTGTGTATGTGTGTGGATGTTAAGGACAGAGGGGAATGTTAACCATGTGTATAACCTTTTATGTTATCTATGATTTGGAAGACAGGTAAGGTATTACCCCTTTTGATGGTTGAGCAGCCAGAAAATGGAGAATTGTTTAGGGATGACCAATGTGTGTGGAAACAGTGAAATTTTAGGAATGTGGTAGTAGCAATTTTGGCCATCCTGGAATTCCCATTCTCCTTGCATCAGTATGTGCCTCTTTACTGTGAACCATTTCCAGTTATCACAGAAGCCAGAACTCAGTGACAACTGTACAGGCACACCATTGTGTGTGTGAATGTCTCCATGTCTTTAGAAACAGAAATGTTGTAGAATGTCTTCCCCTTTTTTTCATTCTCAGTACACTGTGTCCAAACGTGGAATCTCCACTCCTGTTGCAATCTCCACTCAGCCACCAATGTTCTCACATTCATTGTTCACACCTGACTCTTATCCCAGGCGCTGTTCTGAATCTCAGGCCAGATCGCCCTCTGCATGCAAATGGAGAGAAAACAACTACTTACCAATTTGATCGTTTTCCCCTTTATTAACTAGACATGAGTTTGATTAAAGTTCACCAAGTGGCCACCTGCTGAGGCCTGGGCTCCGTGGCTGCAGCCGGGGCCCTGCTCGTTCTGAGGGCACCGAGGCACACTGTGGCAGGAAAGTCACGGCTGCCTTAGGAATATAAAATAAATGCGTGCCACTGATTTTATTTAACTCTTTAATTAATAAGGGAATCAGTAAGAAGTTAAAACTGGCTCAGAAAAGAATGCTTTCTAAACATTCATATTTCCTACTGGACAAAAATTCATTTACAATGTTATGGACAAGAATTATTGACATTGTTATCAGTTTTCCACAATATATGTTCTAGCCTTACAACACTATAGAATAGCTTAGTTGAAGACAATGAAAGATTCATTCCCCTGCAGAATCAGATAACCCAGGGGGCACTGGTGAGCATCTTTTAGTCCATGCCCAGTATCCCATCGGAAGCATCTGCAGTCATCTCTATGCCCATTTCCAAGCCTTTGACGGTTTTTTTTTCACATTTTTTTCTTCCATGATAAGAATGACAGACGTTTAAGCAGATATTCTTCAAATGAGGTGGGGAGTTTGGGGAAAGGGATTCACGAAGCTCCTAAGAATCTCATCAGATCCTTTCAACATTTTCCAATATCTCAGCTGCAACCTTCCATTTCAGGTTTTTATTATCTCTTAACTTAGCTGGGCTCCTAACCAGTTCTCAGTCTTCCATTGAGCAGTTTCTTCCAGTGCTTCTCACATTTTAATGTGCACATGAATTACCTGGAATAGAATGCAGATTCTGAATCAGAAGGCCTGAGTAAGAAGGAGTCTGCATGTTCAACAAGCTCCCAGAGGAGGCTCATGCTTGTGGTCTTTGAATAGCAAAGATTTATCCATAAGCAATTTTTTAAATGCCCACCATGTGCCAGGTGCTCAATAAACATGGGAGAGAGGGAAAGAGAGGGAGGGAGGTTGACAAAGTCTGAAGTAACCAAGAATGAAATGAGATAGGTATGGGTTCAGGTAGTGACACTGAAGTATGATAGATAATTATCACATTACTTAGCTCTCACAAGATTAAAAGTGGCCGTTGCCTTCTGAGAATTAAAAATGTGTTCAAAAAGATTTTTGAGCCATTTGATAAGCTGGTCAATGCCTGGCTGTAGAGGCTGTGCTTCTGTGTGATTATCCAGCATCACCTTTGACTTTCATTGTCAATGGAAATGACCTCGGAGGCCTGAAGAATAAAAGGATCAGACAGCTAAAGTGCCATAACAACATTTATCTCTAATAGACAATGTAAAAATCCTCTTTATCGCAAAATTAAAATGTTTATTAACAAAATGATGTTTCCTAACTTTGAATTTGGAGCTTTTTAGTGTTAATCACTGTAAATCTATTAGAAATAGGGTGTAATGAAATATACAGGGTGGGGCAAAAGTAGGTTTACATTTGGGAGTATGCAGAACAGAGTTTATTCTTGTATTATTTTTAATTATTGTACTATTTTCCGTACAAACAACTGTAAACCTACTTTTCCCCCCACCCTGCAGATAGTCTTCAAAGGGAAAAACTCAGAGTAACCTGAAGATTGGAATACTTTTTTGGAAGTTTTAGTCTCATATAAGACCCTCAAAACTAGAGACATAACATAAACCAACAATTATTGTACAGTGTGACTAATGCTTTAGAAGCAGGCTATGTAGGGAATTGTGGAAGCATAGCAAAAGGGCACATAATTCATGTTAATGTTACAAAAGCACTTCTTGTATGAAAGGCACTTAGGCTGAATCTAGAGCAGAGAATAACAGCTAGGTGGACCAGGATGTCTACGTCCTGGTGAACAGCTAGTGCGAGGGTCCTAGGATGTGCCCAAAAGCAGGGCGGCACGCCAAGGGGTCTGCCAAAGAAGAATGGGACAAAGGCATGGGGGTGGATTGAAGGAGAAAATGCAAATTAAGGGATAAAACATTTGAGGCAACTCAGGTGTGACATTGTGAGGACCCTGATTAGAAAACATTGGGCAATTTTTAATGAGAAAATACTTCATAGTCACTTCATAATACTGTACCAATTTTCCAAATTCTTATTGTGGAAAGAGCACATCTGCACATTCTAGTTTCTAAACAGCACCACGTTCAGAGTTATGCCCAAGCATGTTCACAGAAAGTACTTATAATTTTTATAAGTGCTTCTGATGTGATTTTTATGAGCACTGTTAATTTCTTCCCACTTGAACAGCTTTAATAATGCTGCAATCTAAATCTAGCTTATATAGTTTTCTGTTTTTCCATGATCTTTCCTTGAATGTAAAATTGAATTTAGATATTGAAGACAGTTAGATATTGGAAATGACTGCTCCAGGTACACCTCTATAACCATTCAGAGGATTACTGGCTCAGTGTTGGTTAATATAAAGTCGCTTCTTAATGGCAAGAAACATAGACTAGATGTACCACCAATCATGCCTTAGCTAATTTCTTTTACATCTAATTTGAATGTTAGTATATCAGTCATACATCAGCCTTTCAATTTCATAAGGTTCAGAATTGATGATGAAATTGGGAGTTTTCAGAGCTAAGTATTTCTTCTAAACTAATGGAATTCTGTCTACTATGATTTGTTGAAAGGTTAGAAAGTATCTTTCCTTCTTACTTTTTAAATTGTATATTTTCAATTGTCCAATCCTAAGAATGCAGTTTCTCTTTCTGAAAACAATTATCTAACTGTAATCTCCTTGTGAACTCACGTAAGTCCAAGGGTGAAGAACAATAAAATTTGGTTTTTAGACAATTAAAGCAAACATATATTTTTTTCCTAAATTATGATATTTATGAACTTAGTGACCATAAGCAAGAGAAAAAACTACTAGTTTGCAAGGGAAAGAAAGATGGAACAGTGTTGCTTTCTCTCTGTGTAGGCTCAGTAACAAAAGTGTTGAGGATTTTTCTTTCCCTGTGTAGTGTAGAGATGGAAGTCACAGCGAAGGGGAAAAATGGTACATGAAGTCAGTGTTCCCTTTTTGTTGTTGTTATTTTTGAGACAAAAAAGATTTCTTATAAGCATTAGGTTTATTTTTGCTGTCTTTTTGGAGGTCCATTCTCCTAACGTATATTGGCAGGGAGAGAGGTAGAGAGTGTAGAGGAGGCACAATTTATTCTGACTGTAGCAGTTGCAGTGGGTCTCTCAGAAACATAAGGCTAAATTATGGGCCCCTCCATTGCCTGAACATAATGTTAAGCTGTATGACGGCTTTTATCTTACACAAGCCGCTCAGGTCCGTGAAATGCGGTAAGAAACCACTGTAGCTGGAGTTCACTGAGAGTTGAACCTAGACTGAAATTCCAAAGTTAACAAAATTGTCTGAGCCAGCTATAATATTCGACAAGTATGTTCTGTGCCTGTGGGTTAATATTTTCAAGAAAATGTGAGTCTTTCCCTTACAGGGTGCCCTGTGGGTCTTCCCCAGGCCAGTTATCTCCGCTGGCAAAGGTGCAAGAGCAGAGGGGGCAGGTGTGCACAGAAAAAAAGCTTTGCTCCCCAGTCCGCACTGCCTCCCTGCATCAGGGGAGGGCCTGGAAGTGGGGCTGATCAACAGTGCTTTGATAATAGCTGCTCCTGTCCTGAGAAGACAGAGCACACTCCGCACACACCGGTTAGGCTGATCCTGCCTTCATGCAGCGTGTGTATTTCCTGGGCAAGCAGCAGCCGCAGCAATGAAGTTGTAGCCTGTCTGGCAGGGGCCTCTGGGAGAAAAAGGGTACTCACAGTTTTTCTACAGCACTCCACAAAATTCACAAAGCACTCCACAAATGGAGGTTTCGTGTCATGTGTAAAAAACTAACAATGATTGACTCCAAAACATCTGGTGAATAAAATAAAATAAACTCCTTTACCAAGTATGAATCACCCTCTATTTGTTCATCTGAAGTATAAATGATGCACATGTATATGAGTATATATGTATGGGTGTTTATAGGTAAAAATATAATAGTATGTAAATACTATGCAATAATATATATTGCATGTGAACACACACATGCAGAGTGCATAAGGATGTCTCAGATGTCCCCTAGTGGAGGGAACATAGTAGACACTCATTATGTGTCAAGTAAATGAATAAGAATCGGAATCTTCTATTCTAATTTTGCTCCTTATTTTTATAATTCAGACTCTACCAAGTTTACTTGAAAAAAAAATGTAGTGTATTTTTCCTTAATCACAGTTTCCAGGCATAGAAAAATACCAGTGAGATGGGGAGGCTCCCAGACTCCTCCTTTTAAGTTTTCCTGGAAAATATGCAATGAGCTTTCAGCAGTAGGATTGATTAATGTTATAATAACTGACATATAACTTCCAGTTCTAATTTACTTAATCACCTTCAAACTTGCTGTTTCTCCATCTCCAAGCCATACCACACAGATCTGTTCCAGTAACCAATACCAAACAGGCAAGTCTGTTTGTTTTCTTTGAAATAAACTTCATCATGTATTTACCAGTAGAACCTCATTCCCCACTCCAACCCCCCTTCCCCACTACATACACACCTTAAACCAGGTCAAATAGGTTTTCAATAGCCTTTTAAAGCAAATATTGACTGCCCCGGGTCCTTCTTTGTTGAAAACAAAGAAATATTCTATTTTTTCAGCTTAATCAAATGTTATACTAAATCTAAAATAAAATAAGTTTTGAACTGTAGTAAGACAAGAATTGGCTTATTCCTACTACTATCTAGGGGACAATATCTTCTATTACAACCAGCTTTAAAGTAATTTAATCTGTCGTCCACAGTTTGACACTAACTCAGCTGATTCTGTAAGTCAAAAAACTGGCATCACTGAGTAATATTTTTCATGAAAGAATGAAGTGAAGTGGATGCCACATAGACCACTGGCAGTTTTTTTAGCCAGACATAAGAAAGAGAAATCAGGATTTGGAGGAAGAATGAAATTGTACCAAATTACAAAGAATACCCAGAACAGATCTAAAACTAAGCTTATCGAGTTGGTATATGAGAGGGTGAGTCTCCCTTTGTTTCTTGTTTGTCTGTGATGCCAGAGAATTAGGTGGGAAAAGAGAAGCTGAGTGATGATAGATGATTAGTCTCAGAAAAACTAATTTGTCAAATTCTGAAAATGTTTCCATTAGGATGGGCCAGCTCTGTCTTTTGAGAGGAACCAATGTCAGATATACTTTCTCATCTTCGCATGATTTGTACTTGGTGGTTTTCCTTTTCCAGATGATAGCAAGTTTTCTGAGGCTATCACAGTGCTACTTTCCTGGATTGAAAGAGGGGAAGTGAATCGGCGTTCTGCAAACCAGTTCTATTCCATGGTGCAATCGGCCAACAGCCACGTCCGCCGGCTAATGAATGAAAAAGCCACCCATGAGCAGGAGATGGAGGAAGCCAAGGAGAATTTTAAGAATGCCTTAACTGGAATCCTCACTCAATGTAAGTAAGATTTTGGGGGCCATCTGTCTTATTGTGATTTTGCCTTTTCTTTTGTATTCATTTTATTTTTTCATTTGGGGGTAAGTAATTCAATAATTTCCCATTTACTCCATATTGAATGGCAAGCCTCATAACCTATTTCATGTTCTGTGGCAACTTGGAGGAACACGGACCCTGCCCTGAGAGCTTACTTCTCAAGGTGAGCAATGTTTCTGTAGCTTTTCCTCAGAACGCCCAGCCTGACCACCAGGTCAGGGCAGCCAGATGCACCTGTGCCTGCTGGACCCACCGCAGTTCACACCACACTCGTGGGCTGTCCACACACACCTGCATGTCCTCTTAATTCTGACAGTAGGAAGAGACCCTGAACACATTGTTTTGGGCTCTGTTTAGAAAGATGGTATCTTCAAAAAAACTCCTCCTCAGGATCCTTTATTTGAGGTGAGCTTTTGGCTGTCAACATAGGCAACTCAGGAGTAGAGATTTTTTTTTTGCATTATTATTATTTTGTCCTTTCTTCATTTAGAAAGCAAATTGTCTTAACTACTTAATGCTGGTGATTTTTCATGTCCATATCTTACATCTATGAAGGGGTGTAAATGGGGCTTTCCCATAGAAAAATAGGGTAATTATCCAAGGCTCTATTTTTTTTAAAAGGTGTATATTTTTTGTGGGCACTCCATCTGTGTCTGTAATTAATGTCACAGTGGCATCCTTGCTTAGTAAAAGCCATTGAATGACACTGTAACAATGTTGTGCTCCATTCGATACCAAGAACAAGGTCCCACACCAGTGGGTGACACATGTGATTTACATATTTATTCTGAGAAAAAGTGTTATTGTCAATGACATATGTGCAAAAATGCCTAGCACCTCTTTCATTAGTGCAAACCCAAGTGAGAATGTGTCTGTTAGCATGTGAAGAGAAGGAGGGATGAAAAACCAGGCTTTTATGTGTAAAATACGTTTTATTATGACTTTGTTGTCAAAAGACCATTCTTTTTTGTAACAGCGTAAAATATTATCTAAGAAAATCCCAAATATAAACTATGATAAGTGACCAGATATCCAGCATAAGACCAACCTGTGCCACCTGTCTTTATAGAAAAGGAATAGGAAAAACAGAACTACTCTGTCTATTCAGGCCACTCTCAGACCACCTTACCTAGAATCCCCAGCCATGAGGAGCGGTGTATGTCCAGCAGTTCTGAAGTTAGAGTTACTGGGGAAAGGATGAAGAACACTAATATTGATACCACCTTTCAAAAAAGGGAAGCAAGGAATGGATTGGTAGGTAGAGAGAGGGAAGGGTGAATTAATAATGGAGCAAAGGGAGAGAGGGAAAAGCTACACAATTCTAGTAATATAGTTCCTGTAAAGTTACGGCAAGAAGCCAAATGTCTGAACAATAGAATGATCACTGGCATCCGTTCTAAATAAATTCTCATTCCTATGCAGTTTACAGTCCCACCTGGCAGGGAAGACTAAACCCTTGCCTCTAACAATGAAGACCAAGGCAGCCACATATTAGAAAAGGGGAGGAATTTATTTTTCTTTGGCAGTGTCTATTGAAAGGAGCACCTATTAAAACAAGGCCCCAATCATGTGGCTGAAAGAATGCAATGTGTCTGCCTAACATGATACAGGTACGAGTTGGCATGGGTTTGAAATCACTGAGAGCCCGACAAAGAAGTCTAACATGTGTGGGGGTCCAAATCTCTGCATTTCATTACTGAGAGAAGCCATATTGGAAAATGAGGTTGAAACTGCAGCAAGAGTGGATAACAGGCTTCCTAATGGGGCACTGAGTATCAGCCACAGGCAGCACTGAAGCCCACAGGCCTCTTCCCCTGGCGTCGGCACCTGCAGGTGCATGGTGCACGTGGATGACCAAATGGGAGTGGGTGTCTCTGTGGCCAGGCTGCTTCACTCGCTGGCTGAGAAGGAGAGAGTGAAGGGCTGTGGCGGGGCCGGAAGCTCTGGGAGCCTCCCCATCTCACGGAGCCACAGGAGTGGAGGTTACCCTTGTAGCTAACTACCTCTTAGGTACCGCAACTGTAAAAATATCAAAATTGGCTTCCTGCTTTTAATCTTCAAACTTATTTCTCTTCTGGGTCTTCCTTACCATTTTAATAAATTCTCAAGCCAAAATCTGTAACTTTTATACCTACTGTCTCCCATCACCAAACCCCATTGTGTCCACCTCCAAATAGACCCGTTCTTCTCCATTTTAGATGCCAGCACTGCAGTGCAGGCTGCCTGGACATGGCAGTAGCCTAGTGTGCCAGTTAGACACTGTGTCCGTGTGTGGATCACAGAACACTTTATCTTAAATAAATGGGTTTTTCTTTCTCACACACAGTAAAACCCAGATTTTGGTATTTGTTGTCAGCAGTTCAGTGGTTCAGTCTGTCAAGCCTGAGGTTTCTGTGACATGGTTAGGTTTTCCTAGATGGTTGTCTACGATGACTGCTCTTGCTCCTGCCATCACGTCTTTTATTAATAGGTTGGTGTCATGTAAGAAAAAGAAGAGGAAAAAGAAAAACTTTAGAGAGAGAAAGCAAAACTTGCCCAAAGGTCCCCAGCAGACTTTCATTTATGTCTAACTGTGCAGAATTATTACATGTGGCCTTGCCTATCTATAAGAAAAATGGGAAAATATGCTTTTTGACTGGGCCCTTTGATCTCCAGAATGAAGTTAGAGTTCCCATGGTAAGGAGGAAGGGGAGAATGGCTACTGGGAGGTACTTGGCAGTTTCTGCCATACATATAAGAATGGGCAAAAGCAGGTTTACAGTTGTAAGTATGTGAAACACAGAGTTTAATCTTGTATTATTATATATTCTTGTTTTATATATTTTCCATACAAAAAACTGTAAACCTACTTTTTCCCACCTCCTGTAGTTCCTCCCTTTCCACTTTTATCCCAGGTCAGGCCACTTTCCACACATTGTCTGATATAATTCATGTCCTATTTTCCCCACTTATACCCCTAAATGGCTTCCTATTTCGCTCTCCCTAACTTAAAAGCTCTCCCTGCCTGCTTCTTCAGCGTTAGTGTTTCCTGACTCACTATGCCTGTTCTCCCTGCTGATCCGTTCCATGCTACCTCCCAGCTCTGAGTCCTTGCACATCTGCTCCCTGTGTTTGATGCGCTTTCCCCCCCACTCAGTGCTTGCTTGAATTCTTCTCCTCCTCTAGATCTTGGCTGAAAGGCCACTCCTTTAGAGAGGCCTTCTGGATCCACTCTCTTCAAGTAGGGTCACTATCACTGCATCTGATTAGGTCCTTTGGAGCACTTATGAAAATGTGTAATAATTTACTGATATGTTTGCTATTGATAATTATAACAAGTATCACAAAGGAAATGACATGTCTCTTTAGTCATCAAAATATATCAAGTGTCTAGAACATAGAAATGCAACAAATATTTGGTACTGAGTGAATGAGTGAGTAAATTGTGGGGAGGGGGAGCCGGGGGGAGCAGAAAGGAAGCCTGAAACAGTGAGGTCAGAGTTTCCAGGGACCACAAGAAGCAGTTTGACTTTGGTGTTAGAATTCTCTGCAGATAATGAGGTTTCAACTTGCATGTGTAATCAAGCAATTCAGAAAAGAGCTCACTAGCTATGTTTTTGTTGGGAATTGCTGTACTTTACCAGAAACTTGGTAGCAGTCTAGGGGTTATGAGGAGAATTGGAGTGGAAGAGTCAACAGAAAAATTCAATTTATGTATCCCCAATTGTAACTAACTATCCAACAACCTTCACATTTCCATATTCCTGTTACTGTTTAAGGGATCCCACTTAGCCCTGTAATTTGATTCTGGGAAATACTTTATCAGCCAGAATATATCAACAGAGTTTACAAAAATTCTAGCTGATCTTGACAGGCTTCAGTGCTGGCTAAGGGGTACACATCCCAGCCATTGAGCGCCTGAGCAGCCTTCCAGTGAGTCCTTTATAGCCAAGACCCTTCAGGACAACTTAAAAATGGGAGGTACCTTAAGTGTGAGCCTGAGCTGGAATGAAGCCTGTGAGGTCGAACAGGAAGACTGCGTATCTCTCTGAGCAGCCTCTGAATGTTTTATTCTCTTCTATGAACTTTTATAAAGCTGACTACTTCCCAGATATAAAGGGGAACCAAATACTAACATTCGTCATAAAAATATTAGGTAGGTTTTAATTTTATTATCCTTTGAGTTTTAAATATATTTCATGTCATATCTGGTGGAGTTATGTTTATTTGTCTCAGCCATATATTTTTTAATATCTCCAGCTCAGTTCAGTGAGGTAGGGCGACTTTGGTATTGGTACATAGAGTTGCTTTTAAAATAGTAACTGCAAAATTCCACAGGGATTAACACACTTGCTATATTTGCCAAAAGCAGAACCAGTCATACCCCCATTTATCTGCCTTATATCCTGGCAAACACCATAGGAATTACATTTTGTCTTTCTCATTTGGAATTAAGTTAGGATTGTTAAGCACCAAAATTCAGGAATGGCATCTCAGCTTTCTTTCTCCCAAGTGGGTGGAAATCTCCTGGTTATTCAGAAGTAGCCCTGAGTGTTCCCTCCACACAAAAGATCCCACAGTGTCGGTTACCTTCTCCATAGTGTCTCACAGCAGCCTCCCCATCAGAAAGCCTAGGGTGTCGGGAAATCATTCTGAGGCAGTTTGGAAGCAGATATATTGAGGAACTAGCTTATTACAGCAAGAGTGGCTGGCCTGGTGTCCTAAACGGAAGGCTCATCTAACATCTTCCAGGAAATGTCAGGTACATTGCAAAGCCTCAAACACTGTAAAAGTGTGGGTTCCTATATAGATTTTGCTGGAAATAGCAAATTGGTTAAGCAAGTAAAGGGAATTTCATTGTGTTCATCCATTAAGCTGGATTAGATGCCCTATTCTCCTTACCTTGCTTGTCATATTTGTCCTTGCTTTTATATTTGAGCAAGTAGCATTTGTTCAAAGGGAAAAAATTGAGAGCCATTACTAAT